AAAATATAGTAAATTGCCTTTTTTCTAATAATAATCTTATACAAGAATATGTACAAATGATGTCAAATATAGAAATAGATAATTTTACAGATATTGATTAGTTGTCAAGTGAGCTAGATGATTCAGAACATTTGTCAAGTAACACATCGACAACTGACAAAGATGACTTAGACTATAATATTGATGATGCTACTGTTCGTATTAATTATAGCAATAAACAATGTATAATTACTGAATTAATTGATGGTAAACTTCAAAGATGTTTAGAGCCTGCATCCCGACCATTAAAACAAATGATGGGTATTTGGGAATTGGATTTTGACACAGTAGATATGGTTTTAAAACAAAGTGATCATTCATATGCTTTACAATTTTTAGATGTATGCTCAAATCATATTAACTTTGATCAAGATGGGTTACATATAAGAGGATCAAAAAGTAGTATTTCGATTAAAAAAAGTATAATTTATAAAAGGAGATGTTTGTTTTGTTATGATAGATATTATTATTTTAGTAGAGGTGGTAGATGTTCATTTCATTCATGGTCAGTTATGGAACGTAATATATGTAATCTATGCTGTGGTGTAAAGTATGTCCAGTTTTTAAGACAAACCAATTTATTCAATTATCAACAAATAGCAAAAGAACACGTTATATTTGTTCTACTTGTTTTGAAAAAGAGGGAGGTCATATTTTTAAGCGACATAGAAGAGGAGCTGCATTATTTAACTGTAATGATAAACATATTAATGATAAAACAAAGTCATTAGAACTTCTAAGTTTGTGGATATCAAAAATAGCAGATTCATCAGATGAAGTTATGCAAAATATATTAATTGAAAAACTATGGCAAGTAATACATAATAGCTATTTACGAAAGAAACAAATTTCAAAAGATGATGAGATTGTTGAAGAACATGAAAAGACTAATAAAGAATATGAAAAAGCTAACAAGATTCCAAATCCACCTAGTTATTTAACTATTAAAATTGCATTGCGGTTAAAAAAAATATATATTAAAGATGATAATTTTGCTATTACAAAGTTTATACAAAAAGATCCTCAAAAGGTTGGTGAAGTATTAGCACATATACTATGGGATTCACGTTCATTTATTCGAGAAAATAAAAAGGATTTAGAAAATCCTAGCACACTAAATTCATATAGAAATGCATTTCCATCTGTTATAAGAGACTTTATTGATAGTTTAATTATGTTTATTCAAAAAAAAAAGGGCTATAGTGCAAAGAAAACAACGTCAACGTCAGCAATTAAAAGAATTTGATGATAGATGTGCAATTAAAATTTCAACTTCCTTAATATCTGTAATTCTAACAGTAGCATTTCCAAATACTAATATTTGGATAACAAATATACTTAGTTCTCTTGCTCAAAAACCAAATATGCAATCATCTCTATATGCCATTTTGTGTATGGCAAATGTAGTTGCTCATTCAGCAAGACATGAAAGAAAGATAGAAAAAAATAGACAAATTAATTGTGATCCAAAAGAGCGATTATTAAAAGGAAAAAATATATTAAATATATGTGTGATTGACAATCTTGATTTTAAGCAAAAACAATTTCTATTTGATAATATTTTTGATAAACCACGACAAACAGCACATGTAACTTTATGAATAGATTTTCAATATATATTTCCTAAACCACTTACTGATATTATAACTGAGAATTTTTATATAAATAATCAATATGAAGAATTTCGAGTAGGTGCATCAGTATTTGCTGAAGAACAATTAGTGAAGTTCAATCAAATTATTCAATCTTTTTTAAACCATCAACAAAGTAATTTTGAAGCCAAAGATATTTTAACAGAAATTCGAAATAATATTGAGTGTGAAAGTACTTTACCACCACCAAAAGTTGTAATCTTAAAACCAGGAGATAACCCAAATTGTGATGAAAATGTTCATCAAGCTGTATTAATGTATTATAATGATGTGGGAGTTGGTCCATTAGGTTTAACTGTTTGTGCAGATGAGGCTATTTTTCAACGTCTTCATTCCCTTCATAATAATCATCCAGAATTAAACTTTCTTTTAGGTGGATGGCATACAAATAAAGTTATGTATGCTACACTTATAAAAATATTTTCAGGATACAGTATTTTTAATTTGGCAAGTATATTAGGTGTCTTTTATTTAGATAAATTAGAACAGGTAGTTGATTATTCAGCAGCCTGTAGAGTTTTAGAACTATTATGGGTTGGAGTAGGTGTTGCAATTCATAATTATGCAAAAAAAAAAAAAGTATTGAAGAATTAATAGAAGAAAATCATATATTAAAAGTATGGAATCTCTGTTTTCGTTAGACTAGCTTTTGGCTTGGCCATCGACTTGGAATAAGACATGGTAATTTTACAATGCAATTAGAAAATCTTATTGCATTTGCACCTTTGTTTCCAGTAGCTAAACATTCAAATTATTCACAGTCAGTTATATTTTATATACACTATATACTAAAAAATCCTTCTTTGCATGCAATATTAAATCAAGTTGGTTCTGTTAATATTACACGTCCTGGTCATTATTTTGCACATGATGAAGGAGTAGAATGTTTGGGTGTTAAATATTGTAAAGACAATATAGGAAGAAATTTAGGTGATATTGAAAAGGTCAAATCACAAATATCTTTTATACAAAGTGAAAAAGAACGATTAAATCTTGCAATTACAAAATTTATAGGTGATGATTTTCTTTTGCCTACTGATCGTAATATAAAATCTAGAAATGAATCTTTATGGAAATTAATTTATCTTCTTGAAGAATTATTTGAATTTTCAGATCCTATTCAGCATAATTTACTTAAAAATACAACACAATATACTAATGAAGAGTTTAAAAATCTTTTTAATTATTATGAGATAGGAAAAAGTCGTCTATATTCAATATACAAACAGGATGTGCTGAAGTTAGAAGAACATATAATAAAAGGTCGTCGAGCTAGCAATGTTGTTATAGAACATGCTAGCAAATATAAACAAGAATTAGACTGTCCAATAAAAAGAAAAAGATATACAGAAGTAAATACAGTTAGATTATTGCAAAATTTCAATACAATTACTTCGTCAAATACAGCTACTTCATCAATGCAACTATATGAAGAACAATATTATTTACAATAAATATTATTTTACTTAAATTTAGCAATATACATATTACTATTTTATCATTATATAATATAGTATGATAATTTGAAATAATATCATGTAGGTATAGTGATAATTTTTTTAATTAAAGAATATTGTGAAGCAGCATTTTCAGACAATCAAAAAAATTTTACTGTATTTCGTAATGTATCTCAAAATTATCATACTATATTGATATTATAGTATAGTAGTCATTGATTGTAAATTATATCATTTATATTTTTTAAAAATCTTTAATTCATATAGTGTAACTATAGTGTAAGTATAGATAATTTGTGCTATATAAAATAACAAGCATAAATAATGTAATAAAATGTAGTAATTTTATAATATAAACGATATAATATCCATGATTAATAGTAATCATGCTATAATAATAAATATATTTATAAGCTATTTGATTAACTACAGTACAAAATTTTTATTTATTTATAAAATATAAACCTTTTACAATTTTAATATAACTTAAAGAGCATTAGTTTATAGTGATCCGTCACCATGGTGACCCCATGATCAATGAATCAAAATTGATTACATGATCATATAACTTTTATTAAAAAATTTAAGTTTTTATTTATTAAAAAAAAAGCTAATAACTAAACGAATGCTGTTACATAACCAAAATTCGTTACATTTATTTAAAAACTGCCCCATCCACCTGCCTACTCACTTCATTATGGCATGAAAGTTCCTGCAACACAAAAATTTGCTAACAAAAGTTTTAAAGACACCAAAATTACATAACAACTCCAAGACGATGACTCTAAAGAACGATGACTCCAAGACAACAACTCCAAAGAAAGACTACTCCAAGATAATAACTCTAAAGAATAATGACTCCAACAATTCAAAGATCGACTAAAGCAAAAAAAAAAGTGGGTTAGTTAATGAAAGAAAAAAAAAAGAAAAAAAACAGGAAAACAAAATATGAAAAGAAAAAGAAAAAAGAAAACAAGAAAAAAAAAGAAAATCAAGTACTAACAGGGGGACAGAAAAACAAGAAGAAAGAAGAGGTAAGAGCAGTAGCATTTAAAAACAT